GGGGGGGGGAAATCCCCTATAAAGCGTTCCCGAAGATTTGCTAGACGGTGAGATATAAATATAATGGAAGAGAGTTGAGATCATCGTCCGCCTTTGACGTGCCCAACATTGAGAGTAGTGAACGCAATGAGCAGGGCAACTATTATCAAAGCCGGACCTTTTGCTGAAGATTCATGGCGACTTAGCGAGAAGAGACCCTCCAGTAGTGTTGTTGAGGATACCGTCGTGAGCTTTTAAGTATATTGAACCAACTACTGCGTCTCAAATCAATGATCTTTACCAAGGGAACAGTAAAACATAATTGTAGCTTTCTTACATGCAGATTTGATAGAGGAGAGTGAACATTCACACCCGGCACCAATGTTTTATGTCAGCATCCCTATGACAAGTGGCGAATTGTGCATATTTATATTTTTTAGATGCGGCCACGATTCTAAGACAAACGCCGATCTTAGTGGAGAAGTAGGGTCGGCTGAACTTTGTTCATGGTTTTGTTTCTATCAATGATTATTTTCTACTCCTGATGAGAGAAATTCCTTTCATTGTGTGATGTTCTCCGAGAGAATATTTTGAGTGCGGCCGGTTATACTACAAGGATTGTCAAACGCACTGGCAACGTTCCACCGTTTCGTGGCACAGCAGCTCGGGTCACATTGCGGCTATGCACAAACTTACTTTGATGATATATTAATAATACGTAGTCTTGCAAAGCACGGGGAGTCGGGAGTGGTGAACTTACAGTAAGTACTGGGGGCAGTGTTTGATAGTATGTTTTTTAATAATATACTTACAACATAGACAAGTGTGTATTTAGCACCACCGAATCTTCCGCGATGAACGAAACCATTGCAGATTGGCCATTGACTCAGTGAGACGTGAAATGCCCGTCCGTATATACACACCTACTAGTGAAGACTATAATCATTTAACACGCTTATCCGCTTGTTATCACTTCCATCGAGCCGTTGATTATTCTGAACGAGGAGGAAAAGGTGAAGTGACTCTTTTTGGCCAATAAGCCTTAAATCTCCCTTAATTGATTAGTGCCTCCGATTATGATATTAAACAATTGAGGTTATACAGCTCTGCAAAATGTATATTTAATCTAAACCACACGCATAAATATGTAGCTCACACAACATGTCCAATGGGACTGACCCCGTCACTATCAGTCGTATAAAAACATAAAGACGTCACTTTGTTGTGCCAACATATTACACAAGGATATCAAAAATTACGACATGGTACGACCCGCCTTTAAATGGTTGTCGATGCTGCTGCTGTATGACTCAAGAGGTGACCTTTGAAGATAAAAAAGAAATTCTCATGTCTGTTTGAATTTGGCTCGTTCAAACTGTATCCGCATTTTTGTTGTCTTTGAAGCTTCAGCTTTAGTTAAACTCTACTTTCTTTTAATTAGATATCGATGACATGAATGCAAAATTATATTTGGCATGTGCGGCCGAGAAGAAGTACCCAGCACACGACAAGGAGCTATGAAGATGACCTTGTCACGGTTAGAGTTTGCCTGCATGATATCGAGCCAGCTGTGATCTCTGTGTGTGTTATCGACGTCGCCACCACACATAGCTCGCGAAAAATGGCAAAATAGTAATTCATACTTGCGGAGGCTGCCTTGAGGACAAGATACAAGCAACTTCGTTTCAATGTGATGGTAGGAGCGCTCTTCGTCGCCCCGACTATTGCATGCCACGACGGTGACATCGCCAGTCGATGAGATAGAGCGTTGCGTATAAGTCGAGCGCAACATGTGTTGTGCTGTTGTATCTTTGAGCAGCAAGGCGTCTGTGAGACCATACAACGCTTCATAAAAGCGTTGGGTGGCACGTTCGCACCCTTCATTCTCCCGACGCTTTCTAGATAACAGCTCCGACTTACCCGACACCCAACAAGTTATGATGTCTCACGAACCAGACCTCGAAAACAGTACATTTTTGAGGTCACATATCACTTTTTTGAGTCCCGCATAACCTAAATCTCAAGTACGGAATCCTTTAGAAAGAACATACAACTCCTTGACCGCACAAGAGAAAACTGTACTACTCAGTGAATGCTGTGTGCCGGTGGCTCAAAATGTATAAGTGAATAAGTACAGATGTGCGCTCATGCGATGCTTGACGGGTTAAGCTTCCACCGTGTGCATCAGTATCTGGTCATCCGGCAAAGCATTAATTGCAACGGGGTTACACTTATTCAGGTATGAAGGAGTGGGTCACATAAGATGGTGTGACCACACGATGGTGTGGCTACACCTTGACAAGAAGGCACTACGTGGCGTGACTATCGGTAGTTATGCTAATTAGGTTTTATTTTTTATACCTATCGATTTAGATATAGGCGGCTCTGCTGCAAATAAAACAAAAGAAATACAATTTACATTTTAACCGGAAGAGTGTTTTGCCCTGTATTAAAGTTTTGGCTACTCTTGAATTTAGCGGATTGCGATCCACTACACTCGTACTGGTTCTAGTATAGAATGTGAGGTCTGTGACCTTAGCTTAGCTTCCTCTAAGCAAAGAAAGCAAAGAGCTACGGCAGCCCCACCGCACTTGGTAGCATTTGTAGTCAATCTACATCCAACTTGTTACGGCTGATCCTCCTTGAGGATGGAGCAATTCGCCTATTTGCCCCAAGAGCATGCAGAACGAGCTCATAACGCTGATGTCCTTGCTTGTCCCTAAGGACGTGCAACACCTTGCTTCGCACGGGACCTGAAGCGACCAGCGCGCGCCTAGAGACGGCTTTGAGCTAGGAAAATACTCTGCTAGAGCACCGAAAGCAGGAGATGTCAGCGTCGACAGCGTCCATGACGCCACCGTCGGCGACGAATGACATGATGAGAGTTAAGACCTTCGAGGGTAAAAATGGAGAGAATCTCCTGCTCTGGGTGAGATAGGTGAGACGGCTATGGTACCCGCCATGCTCCAGAATGAGCAACAGCGCGTGGCGCTAGCTATTTCCAAGCTCGGTGGTCGAGCGCGAAAAAAAGTACTATGTGCGGTATTTCGGTTTGAAGCGGCATTTCCTTCCTGGACGGAGCCGAAGCTGTAGCCTCAACGAGTGTTCTCGCTGCATACCAGGCATTTCGCGTGCGATCGCGTTTCCTTGTTGCCCGCAGGGCAAGAAGAAATTGGTGGACTTTGTACAAGTGTTGCGAGCTCTCATGGCCCTGATCGCAATAGATCGTCTCCCCGAGGAGGCTATAGCGACCGTCTCTATGGAGGGCCTTCGCACTGGCGTGGCCAGAATGGAAGTCGTCCCTGTGCATCCGTCTTCTTTTGCAGATGCGGGGAATGTGACATTGAATGCCGATTTCAGCTTTAAATCGGCACGACTTGGTCGGAATGCACACCCTCATAGCTCGCCGAGCGGGCCTGAGCCAATATATCTCAGCTATGCTGAGAAAGAGGGGGCAGATCTTCGAGCTACCGGGCAGGGTTCGAACAAACGACGGTGATTTGTCTGTGGAAATAGCCGACAGCTTCGGACGTGTTGCCCCCTGCGCAAGGCGAGTCAAGATTCATCGAGCCGATGTCCCACTTCTAGCCAACCTGGTTTCACGCGGGGAAACGAGAACACCCAGTAGGTGCGGGACACCCTACTGGGAGAAAACTGTGTTGTGTTATGCCTCAAAGAGGTTGTGGGGCAGCAGAGCCCAGCCCCGAAGAGCTCCGAGCTCTTGAACACGGAACGTGTATGCAAGCCGGTCTTGCTGATCGTGAAAGCGACCGTAAGGGGCTTTGAGAAGCCATGGAAGATTCTTAGTGACGCTCCACGATAGACGGAAGTTAGCTGTATACCGAGGCGCTGGAAACGCGGTCGAGTGACACTGTAACTGTTCGCTTAGCGACTGGGACTTGTGTCACGGTGCCGAGGGTCCCTGTGGCTCTCGGTGTCATGTTTTTGCTTCGATTGCGTGGAACGCTGCTTGATAGATTTAAGGTACGCCCTATGGCATGGTTGGAACACCATGAGCCATGGATCGATTGGAGAACCTTTAACGCTGCGCGCACGTCTCCTGGAGGAGCTCTGGTGAGTCATGAACCCACCTCTGCTAGGAAGCAGAAGCGCTATTGCGTGGTAACTGAACCGGGAGTTCAACGTGCTGAAGATCGGAGATTCGAAGTTGTCGTACATTAAAGGTGTATTGGGCAGGATTTCTAAGCGTGGCTCAAGTATTGGAGCAGTTGCTGCATGCCATGCGTGGCATGGTCGGACGAGGCTCGAGGCTTCATGGGCAAGGCCTTCAGATGCGCGTGGAGTGGCACGTGATCCACTGGACAAGCCTGCGGAAATAGCAGGTCTTCATCGGATGGTGTTAATAACATCAAGTCTCCGGTGGAGCAGGGAGTGAGGACACTAGAAGATGCTGAGGCGTGTTCCCACTGGTCTCGTCGAGACATAAATCTTTGTGGAGAGGCAACAGCGACGCCATATGTTATCTGCAAGACTCCGGGCGTCGATCCTGGCCCAGGGTGTGTCTACCGTAGACGAGAGCGCACAGTTATACACCCTCGTCAACGGTATGACGAGGGAGGAAGACAGCGAGGTCACCTTTGAAACTCTTCCTGCAGAGGATGCTCTTCTTGAGCTGGACGAGCGTAGGCGAACTACCCAGTCCACGACACGGAAATACTTGCGATGGAGTATGCACTTGTCAAGTTCAGGTTTCACCTGATCGGGTCCAAGACGTTTGTGATCTACATAGATTATGCGGCACTTTGCACTGCAATTCAGTCACCTCACCTCTCGCAGAAGATGGCCAGACGGCTCACCTTTCTCACAGAATAAAATTATGAGGTAAAGTATAAGACATGAAAGTAAAATGCTTTGTTGATGCGATGTCTCGCAGACCATACTATAAGCTTGTTCATGTCACGACGGTGACATTGCCAGTGACAGATTTGATCCACCGCATAAGCGGATGATGGTGCTGTTA